TGGGACCAGACACCAGGCACCTGTCATCTCCATCAAGCTGCGTAGCACCTGGCGAGCCATTTCACCCCTCTGGCCTCTATTTCCCAATCTCCAAAATGGGCACAATACGCATATGTCAAAAGGCTAAAACCTTCATGCACCTGAGTGTGAAGCAATTCGATTAACCATTTTATGCCAAAATTTGGCTCAGCTGCTAGGCACTCCCAGTGTGGGTGCATGTGTGTGCATGTGCACATGCATGCAGCTTATTACAAATGAATCTCCACCTGGTAGAGTTCAGGGTGACTTTGAGAGTGGCGCTTCAGTTTGGGTAAGGATAAGAGCTCACCCCAGAAGCCTGGATTCCATGCTCTGGGAGGCACACAGTGAGGAGGAATGGAGCACCCCACAACCCGGCCCATCGTAGACCCTCACACTGGGAGCAGTGCCACCCTCTGCCTGGACTTCTCAGCAGCCTCCCCAAGGTAGGGTGGAGAGCAGGAGGAAGGTCATGGGCTGGGGCTGGGTGTGTGGTGGGTGCAGGCTAGGTGGGCATGGGGCTAGGGTGTCCCTAGGATCCCAGCAGGAAGGGTCTGTGCTACCAGTCTAAGAAACTGGTGCTTATCATTGGGGCAGCGCTGAGGGCTTGACTCTGTGGTGAAGAGACCCCTTGGGAGCCTGAAGGTGCCTCTGGGGAGCAGGGAGCAGTGGTGAAGCTGAGTAGGTATGTGGCTGCCAGGATACCTCTGGGGCTGAGATGGGAAGGAGGGGTGTCCCACAGACGCAGAGCTCCCAGGTGCAGCCAGCTGTCCTAGGAGTTGCCCTGGCCTGCCTGGGGTCAGGACTCTGCTCCTCGGAGGCAGGACAGGCGTTTTTATCAGACAGCACAGCTGGCTCAGAGGTGGCCCCCCAGTGCTGCTAAATTGGGTACATGGGCTCCTGCTGCAGGAAGAGGGAAACGCAGGCAGGATGTCCTCTCTATGGCTGACAAGTCCTTTCCCATGAACCCCTGCTGACCTTGCTGGCCACGTGGCGGGGCTCCCCCACTTGCCACCCTGACCTGTGCTTGCTCATGGGGGCCACCCACACCCCAGTCTGGCTGCGGGGGTGACCTGGGTCTGGTGAGCCAGGCGGGGGCGTGCCTGCTGTCTGCCCCACCCAGCCACAGCCACCGCCAACAGTGAGTGCCCGCACCTTCCTGCTCCCAGACTTCTCCTTCGGCATGACCGGAAAACAGAGATCCCAGAGGAAGCCAGTGTCTGAAAAGGATCGAGACTCAGGAATCCCTGGCTCCAGCCGGACACGCCGGCTGTGTCTCGCTTGGAGGCTGGTCCAGGGAGTCTGAGAGGGACCCTCTCCCTGTCCACCCTCCTCTCCCAGGGGCATCGGCTAGGCCCTGGTGCAGATGAATCTGCCTCGTGGAGGAAAACGCTTGAATGACAGGAGTGTAAACTAGACACAGAAGGACATCCCCCTGATAGCTAGGACCCCACTTAATGCCCCTGGGTTCCCTGATGCCCCTCTGTCCCATTGCATTCAAGTGCCCCCAACTTTCCTCCTCCCATGTCTGGCATAGTTGCATCAACTGGGATCTCCTAGGAAGTCTCTCTAGGCACCTCCACCTGAGGCACCTGCTGTCCAGTGGAGCATCTCACCTTCCCATATCTTCTCCTCCTCTCAGGGTCCCCATCTAGTAAACAAGCTCATGAGCCATTCTGTTGCTAGTCAGGGACTGGCACTCATCCCTCCTTCCCCATCCTCCCCTGCTGCCTCCTAGGGTCACCCGCAGCCTGCTTGCTGTGTGGCTTTGCCCTTCTGGCAATACCTTCAGGGAATCTGACCTGGTGGCTCCTTGCTCAGAACCTCTGCTACCCAGGTGTGCTGTCGGCTCCCGCCACCTGCACATGCTTCGTTGGCCCCACCAAACTCCAGCCTCATCTGACTACCCCATCCCCATACACCCCCTGGACTTTACTGCCTCTGGGCCCTTGAGGGGTCCTTCTCTCTCCTTGGAATTACCTTCTCTGGAGTCTGCAGACCCCTCCAGGAAGCCATGAGCTGGTAGAAAGGTCACCTTCCTGTGCAGCCCACAGCTACCAGCTGGGACTCAGCGAGGTCGCTGAGCACTCATCCCTGAGCTATGGATGTCTGACAGCATGTCTGTCCCTGCCAGTGTGGCACTCAGGAGCAGAGCCAGGTCCAAATCCTCCCTGGGCCACCCTGAGCAGCACCAGAGCTTGTAACTTGCACAGAACTGCAGTCCCCTGGGTCTGGGTTCTGCTGCCTGGGGGCAGGGTGGGGATGGCAGAGCCAGTAGCTGGCCAGACAGTCTCCTTGTCACACCTCACATGCGATCTGGTGCCTGGCTGTGTGGGCTCTGTGCTCTGGGGAGGCAGCAGAGCCCTTCAGTCACACAGACCCCTAACCTCAGGTGTGGGGGGCACAGGAGCAGCATTTGGGTCCCCAGAGCACAGAGCTGGGCCAGTGGATCACAGGACCAAGTAAGGCGGGGCCGGCCCCCACATTGTGCCTGCACCCACTTGTATTCCCTGGCCCACCTCTGCACACTCCTGTCCACATCTGGGCCTGGCTCAGGGCTGAGAAGCAGGGACAGCAGAGAGCTGGGATGGCCACACGTGACATAGCCCATGGCAGGAGCCAGTGTCCTTGAGCCAGGCCAATCTGCTGCCAAGTGGTCTCCTCTTTCCCCTGCAAGTCCCTAAGCTGACTGCCCACTGTCTGGAGGTGTAAACAGCCTCTCTCTAGACTAAGCCCAAGAGATGAAGCCTCCTGGGGTTGACCTCTGTGACCTACCTTCTCCACAGGGACATTGCCAGGGCAAGGCCTTTTGGAGCTGGACTGGGACGCCAGCAGTGAAGTTCAGCCCCGGCACAGACCCCAGCTTGTTGCTCTGCTACAATGGGGAAACGGAGATGCAGGGAGAGGAAGGGAGGGGCCCATGCCACACAGCTGGGCCCCGAGTCAGCTTCGGGGTCCCCAGGCTTCTCCATTGTCAGCGCCTGGCCTCCCATTCTGCCTGTGCTGACCCTTGACAGCACCTAAGTCCTCGTGTTCCTGCTCCCGCATTGGGTGGGGGGCTCTCAGTGTCCTCAGGCCAGCAGCAGGTGAGGCACATGCAGGGCTCAGGGCAGCCGCACAGGCGCCTTGCCACTGGCATCTCCCTGGCCAGCCTGGGCCACCCCTCCATGGCGCCATTCAGCTAGCATTCTCTGTCCTCCTTTCACTGCGACTTTGGTAAAAGTCACATGCACTCATTGCAGGCCTGGCCTCATCTCCCTTCCCTCCTCCACGAGACACCAGCCTCCCTGGTTCTTATGCCTGTGGAATGTTCCCTGCCTCCTAGAAGCCTCTCCCTCTCTAGTGCCCTCCCCAGCGGTGTGGGGGTCCCATCCTGGACCCTCTGCTCTGCTCCCTCTCCAGCTCTTTAGCCCAGCCTCTCCCTTGAGCCTCAGATGCTGCACCCAACTGCCTGCTAGACATCTCCTCAAGGTGGGTCTCCCACCCCTCAGCCTGGCAGTCCAGTTCAGGGCCCCATTCACTTCCTCTCCCACATTCATTCAGTCACTCAACAAACATGTCTGTGAGAGACTGGCCTGAGTTGGGTTCAGAGGAGCACAGGCAGCCAAAAGGCAGCCCTTCTGTCCAGACCTGCCTGGACCGAGAGGCCTAGACAGATGTCCTCTGCCCTCCTGCCCCTAGGTCCATTCACACCTGCCTCACCTTCCCTTTCCTCAGCCCTTCAGCCTATGAAGGCTCTGAGAACAGGGTCCTGCTATCCCACAGACCCGTACGGACCACTCTCCTCACTACTGACCTCCTGGGAACCTTGGGGAAGATGCAAATGACCTTGGGTTAAGCTTCCCCATCTGTAAAATGGGTCTAATGTGCCCTTGTGAGGATTAAATGATGAAGCATGTAAAGCCAGTATTCAGGGCCCACAGCACTCAAAAAGCAAGGTCCCCATCTCTCCCTTCAGACCTCCCATACTCCTTCCCCAGCCACGCGGGGTCCACGACCCTCCCTCCACCCTCTGATTTCCAGGCTCACTCACTAGATCTTGCCATAGACTTCCAGCCCATTCTCTCCACCCCTGACTTCATCCTTGAAGTCCCATTCACTACAGCTCTCTCTCTACTCCCTCCCTTACGTCCTACGCTCCATTTTCTCCAGCTCAACAGCCGCACCTCCGGGTTTGTTCCCGACGCAACCGGACCCTGCCTCTCCTGTGTTTGAGACCCTTTCGTGGTGGCCCCTGCCTTCTGTGCCAGGCTCCTGAGCTCGGCCCTCAGGGCTCCTGCCCCGTCGAAAAGAGGGAGGTCGGCCTTCTGCCTCTTCTGCCACGCGGGTCGCTCACGAGTTGCCTATCCGAGATTCGCCTAAAGGTCCAAAACGCACCTGCGCGCAATCCGCGCCATGGCGCCTATGTCCCGCGGTCCCCACATCTGTCCCCTGGAGTCCCTGGTCTGTGGAAGGTGGACGCCCGCCGGAGCGCCCTCTGGGGGACCGACCTCGAGCGCAGACGAGGCGTCGGGAAGTGCGCACCCCGGTCTGCGGCCCGGCGGGGATTGCCGCCTTGGCGCCCGGGACCGTCCCTGGTGCGCGCGGGTCGCAGGCTGCCCGGTGCGGCGCCGGGGCTCCTTAGGGAAGCGAGTAAGCAAGCAAGCCAGGGATCCTGGATGAGGATGCGGCGCGACGGGGCCGATCCAGGGTCGCTGAGCCGCGGGTGGAGGAGCGAGGTGGACCCCGAGCACCATCCCTGCGCTGCGCTGCAGCCCGGCGCCCCGTCCCTGACCCGGCTGCAGTCGCTGCCCGCCCTTTCCTCATCCCGGGGGCCTGGCCCGACCCGCTGTGCTCCGGCCGGCGTCCGCACCCCTGGCTCCCCTCCCTGCCTCTCCTGGTGCCCCCGGACCCCGTTTCACGTCGGTGCGGCCCCTCCGCTCGTCCCCGGACAGCGTCCCCCCTCGCGGCCAGCCGCGCCCTCGGGCGGGCGGCGGGCTCACCGCGCTCGCGCTCGAGGAGTCCCAGGCAGAGCCACAGGCGCAGGCACAGGGCGGCGCCCCGCTGCATCTCCGGCCGCTGCGGCGCGGATCCGACCTGCGCGGCGGCGCTCGGGGCTCGGAGTGCGGGCGCGCGGCCCCGGCGCGGGCGGGGCCGGGGCGGGGCCAGGCGCTCGGGCCGCCCCACGCCCTTCCAGCTCCGCCCCAAGCCGGGACCGCGGGCGGCGAGGTGCCCGCTGTGTCCCGCGGCGGGAGGCTGGTCGGTGAACCCCGCACGCGTCCCCTGCGGCCTTTAAGTCTCCAGCCGCTGCGGGCGGGCGTAGATGGGTAAAGCACCAGTCTCCACTGCGATTTTAGGGAATGGACCTCGCAGTCAAGGTTGCACAGAATGTGCCAGAGTATTTTTCTGCAATTTCCTTTAGCCGATAAAAATTACCTTTAAAGTAAGAAAAAAAAGCAATGCCTATTACTTAAAAACACCAGTATGTGAAATGGTTGAGGACATGCGGCAAACCCCATCTTATCACCTACCAGGTGTGGATGGAGGCTGTACCCTGCGCAGGCCCGCACCCAGTGTAACCAGCCCCCACCCTAAAGTCATGGCCTCTTTAGATCTCCCCCAAATAGTTTTGTTCTGAGCTCATTCATCAGTCCTTGTATCAGGGGACACTTCACTATCTGACTTGGCAACCCTCTCATGGATTTCCTTTCTCTTTTCAGTTCTGTCTCTACAATGTTCCTATTTGAAAATAAGTCCCATGACGATGACTTTCGCAGCCTCCCTTCCCTGCTTTTGTTCTACTTCATTCAGTTTTTCCCATCCGCGGACCTCAGCAAAAGTCCACTCATTCTTGCCAGAAACCAAGCCTGGATTGTTGATAACAACCATTACCAATTCTCAGGCGCAAGAATTGAATATATTATTAAGCTGGAATCACATATCACTGCAAATAGTATAATGATTTAATAAATAAAGTTGGAGAAACTAGGCAACTAAATAGTAAAGTTAGATTCATTTTCAACTATATATTGATTTTCTAATTTGTTTTTGGTTTTAAAATTAAAAAATAGATATAACACACATGTAGACAGTATATGCCAATGTAAATTTTAAACCTGGTTCCACCCTCAGATCAAGGAAAATAGAATGGCACTAGCTTTTCAGATGTCATCCCCCGTTCCCATCACAAACTCCTCCCTAAACCCCAAATCCTGACTTTATCATATCCCTGCTTTTCCATGTCTTGTCATTACTCAAATACATATTTTACTTGTCTTTTTAAACATTATATCAATGGAATGCTTCCCATATACATGTATTCTTCTGCTCAGCATCTTTTGTGAGATTTATCTGTAGCACTTAGATAACCTACCCTTCACTCATATTCATTGTTATAGCCTTTCCACTGTGTGAAAACCACAATGGATTTGTTCATCTGCTGTTGATGGAAGGTCTTGTTACTAGTTTCCAACTTCTGCTGCTATGAACATACTTGGATGTTTCTTGGTGTACATATACCCTATTCTTTAGGTATGTGTCTAGGAGTGAAATTGCTAGGTCCTAGGATGTGTATCTGCATCTATGGCAGACAGTGTCAGCTATCTTTTCATTATTTGTACTATTTTGTACTCTGCGGCTGTGTAACTAGTTCTCTGTGCTCCATACCTTCACTGACATGGTATTGTCAGTTTTGATTTTTTAACTTAGCCATTCTAGTTGGTTTGCAGTGGCATCTCATTATGGTTTTCATTAGCTTTTCCCTAATTCCCTAATTAAACACATTTATATAATTTGGCCATTTGAATTTCAAGATGTTTGTTCTTTACTACTGCCTATTGTCTTCTCCTTATTGATTTATAGAAGTTCCTTATATATTCTGGATATGAGTCCTTTGCCAGTTCTGGTACTATTGCTCTGCAGCAAATTACTCCAAAATGTAGTGGTGTAAAGCAGCAACCATTTTACTTAGCTTATGCTTTTGAGAGTCAGGAATTTGAGAAGGGCTTGGCTGCATAGTTCTTGCATGGGGCTCATGTAGTTGCTGTCAGGTTTCCAAAGGCTGGACTGGGGTGGACAGCTGGCAGTTGATGCCGGCTGTCATCTGGGAGCTCAGCTGGTGCTGTCAGTTGGCTTACTCATTCATGGCTTACTCATTCCAGCAAAGCAATCTCAAGGTGGTTGAGCTGGCTTCCTCAGATTAAGCATCCCAGGATAGGGAGAGACCAGGTCACACTGCTGAAGAGCATGTGGGATGGGAGATATTGCTGAAGCCATCTTTGGAAAACACGCTTGGACACAATGTGCTACAAATCCTCCCTCCATTCAGGATCTTACTTTTCAGTCTCTTAATGGTTACCTGTTTTGGGGGGAGAAGGGATGGGGAGACAGAAGATCTTAATTTTGATGCAGAACTCTTATGAATTATTTTCCTTTCGGTTGGTGCTATTTGTAACCTTTTAAAGAAATCTTTCTCAACCTTGATGTCATGAGGATATTTACAACATTTTATCATTTACAAATTTCCACTTAGATCTTCAGGCACCTGTGATTGTTTCTGTATAGTGTGAAGCAGAGGAGTCAGTATTTTTTTCCCCCCAAAGGATATCTAATTGTCCCGTCACTGTTCATGAAAAGACCATCCTTCCCACAGTGTTCTCTAGTTCTGCTTTGGCTGTAAATTAGTCTACATTGCTTGGATAATTTTGGGGGCTTTGTGTAGGTGTCTGTGGCGCTTGCCTATTTTTGTACTGATATCATCACGCCAAAGCTATATAATAATCTTCATATCTGGAAGGTCCTTCTGATTTATTCTTTAAAAGTGACCTTGAAAGTCTTTACAATTTATATTTCCATTTCCATTTTAGATTTATCTTGTGAATTTTTACACACAGATGATATGCTGGGATTTGACTAGGGTTATATTTAATCTATAATAAATTTAGAGAAAACTGACCCTCTTCCAATCCATAAACATGGTATATCGCTCCGGTTTTAGAAATGCTTTAATTTCTACCTGTAATGGTCTCTTGTTTTCTGTGAGAACTCTTGGATATTTTCTATTAGATTTATTTGTACATATTTAATATCCTTATGCTATTGTAAAGATAATCATGTTGATACTTCATTTTCTAATTTGTTTATTCTTTGCAAAATTTATTTTTAAAAATAAGGTGACTCATCTTTAACTCATAACAGTCTACCTTCAGGTGATAATGTATTGCTTCATATCTAATATAAAACAAAATCTTACACTATTCTCCCCACTCAGGTTTAGGCCAGTGTTGTGATTTTACTTGTACATAATATGAACCCCACAATCCATGGTCATTACTTTTGTCTAAGAAGTCACTTATTTTCTTAAAGACATTCAAATAAAAATGAAAATATTGTATATTTATCATTTCTGATCACAATGCCATCAGGTATCATTTTTCTTCTGCCTGAAGGACTTGAACTTTCAACATTTTTGGAGTGTGGGTCTGCTCGTGAAGAGTTCTTTCAGCTTTTGAATATCTGAAAAGTCCTTATTTCTCCACTCTTCTAGGACTCCAAGTACAAGAGTATTAGACCACTAGATATTATCCCACAGTTTCCCAAGACTGTACTACTTTTTAAAAATGGTGGTAAAATGCACACAATAGGAAATTTATACCATCTTAACTATTTTTAAGTGTACAGTTCAGTGGCATTTAGTTACATTCAAGTTGTGCTACCATCACTACCATCCTCTCCAGAACAATCCTCATTTTGCAAAACTGAAATTTTTTTCCCATTAAACTCCCCATCCCCATTGTCCCCAGCCCTTGGTAGCCACCATTGTACTTTCTATCTGTATGAATTTGACTGCTCTAGGGACTTCATGTATGTGGACACAGTATTTGTCTTTTCATTAACTGACCTATTTCACTTAGCATAATGTCTCCAGTATTCATCTATGTTTTAAGATGTGTCAAGAATGTCCTTCCTTTTGACACTGAATATTATTTCATGGTATGTATATACCACATTTTGTTTATCCATTCATCTATTGATGTCCACTTTGGTTGTTTCTACTTCTTGACTATTGTGAATGGTGCTGCTATGAATGTGGGTTTACAAATATCTCTTTGAGTCCCTGACTTAAGTTCCTTTGAGTATATACCTGAAGGAATTGCTGGACCATATAGTAGTTCTATTTTTAATTTCTCTTGAGGAACAGTTTCCACAGTAGCTGCACCACTTTACACTCCTGCCAACACTGCACAAGTGTTCTGATTCTTCCACATCCTCAGCAACACTTGCTATTTTCTGGCTTTTTTTTTTTCTTTTTCAAATAGTAGCCATCCTAATGGGCGCCAGGTGGTATCTTATTGTGGTTTTGGTTTACATTTACCTAAAAGTTATGTTGAGCATCTTTTCATGTGCTTATTGGCCATTTGTACATCTTCTTTGGCAAAATGTCTGTTCAAGTCCTTTGTCCATTTTAAAAATTGTTTTGTTTTCCTTCTAGCCTTTTTTCCTAGGGTGTTTCAGTTGGGCAGTTTCTATTGATATTTTCAGGTTCCCTGTTTTGTTCTTCTGCTATTAAGCCCTTCCAGTGAAATTTTCATTTCTGGTATTTTAGTTTTTAGCTCCAGGACTCCATTTGATCTTTTTTTATATTTCTTCTGTTTCTATGTTCATCATGTTCATTTGTTTTCTTTTTAAATTCTTCAACATTATTTATAATGGTTTTAAAGTCATTATATGCTAGAACTGAAAATGTCTCTTTCATTGGGTTTATTCCTGTGTGAATGGCTTTTCTCTTGTTTTTTTCTGCTCCTTTGCATGTCTAGTAATTTTTATTGGACGTTGGACATTTTTAATATTACACTGATGAATGTCTGGATTTGTAATGTTCCTTCAAAGGGTACTATTTGTTCTGGCAGACAGTTACTTGTAGATCAGCTTGTTTCTTATGACATTTATTATTAAGCTTTGCTGTGGAGATGTGGTACCTTCCCACTAAGGCTTTATTCTTTTGAGGTTTCTACTGAATGTCTCAGGTATTCAACAAGGTCTTTTCATTCTGACTGTTGCTTTCAGTCCTTTGTGCTTTCTGGGAATTGCTCAGCCTATAGCCCCTTGCTCAGCTTCTTGGAGTTTTGCCTTATGCAAAGGC